AATATCAAAAAATAAAAATAATGAGAACAAAGTTAGAAATTAATGCCTGCAATTGAGAGTCCCCAGCTCTGTATGCCTGTCACTCAGAGTGTGTTATGTCATAACAAAAAAGTCAGCGAACTGGAAATTCCTCCTGGTGTGCACATATAAAGCCAGAAATGACTGTCACTCATGCCTGTACAGGCAATAGCAACATCTGTGTGATGCTACACAAACTGGATATGTTTGAGTACCCCTAGACTACAGCAATTTTGACAATTCAGCAGCACACTTAGGCACAAGCTAGTTTCACTTCCATTCTGATATGGATCCTGTTAAAAGACTTGTTTGTAACCACAGGAGGATCTGAGATAGCCAAGGGGGTATATAATAATATGTATTTTTATTATGTTCCAGACAGAAAAGGACAGAATACCACTCACTGATTTAGTGCAAAATATAGTAAGGAAATGACGAATTTATTATCCTGTTTTCCCTACCAGTTGTTGATACTTTACCCAGTGCTTTTTAGAGTCAGAATGTTGCCTTTCTGATCAACAATTCTACAACTTCCTAATCTGTACATTTGTGCATTGTATGAACAACCATTATTGATATAACTGCAAAATAACACAGTCTCTTCTTATGATGTAATTAGGCATCAGGTATGATAATACTACTATTAATGAAAATTTATTGCCTTCCAGCATGGTTGCCACAAGTGAAATTATTGAACTTTCATATTACCTGATTGTATAAAGTGCAACAGCAATCTTAATGTTTTGTACAGATTGCACAAAAGGTCAAACACAAACTTTAGACTATTGAACAGAAACTTGTATTGCACCATTAGTCATTCTGTGATTTTGTGTCAAACGATAATATGGAAGAGAAATTTCAAAGACTTTTTCCTTGATCTAATTAGAAAGTAGACAGTTTTTATCAGCTGACAAGATACCTAGCCAAATGAATCTCAAAGAGAACCAAAAGAATGCCTGATTGTGGAAACAAATGGAGGGACCACCGCTTTTTGCAAGCGACTCACAGGATGTACTTTGAATAAGGACAGTAAAAGAAGGTAAAATGGCATAAACCAAAAAATAAACAGTAAGAAATGACCAGAATTAAGACAACATTCACCCCAAAATGATAAAGGAACATGAGCAAACAGCCGGAAAGAAAAAGTTTTAGTTTGCAATCTCTCTTTTATTAGTCCTTTCATCTAAGGACTGAGAGGTGGCAAATGGGAAGTCAATTTTTTAAGAGATTTCGCAAGGGAACTACAGGCTTCTAACTCTGGCCATATCTATGCTGGGAAATTTAATAGAAACTACAATAAAAACCAGAATTAGTGGACACATGGATAAAGATTATGTATTTGGGAAAAAAATGAGAGTTTTCACGTGGTTCCGCCTAGCAAACTTATGGGAGTAATTCACAGGGTCAACAAGTACATCCAGCTGATGTAAACTACCTGTATTTCCAAAAGTGTGCTATTTTAAAAGTACCACTTCAGTACCTTTTCAGGAAACTCATTAGTTGTGGCATTGCATGGTGAATACCTCATTAAAAGTCAGGAAACAGAAAGTGGAATAAAAATAGAAAAGAACAAGATCATTAATGTAAAGAAAATCTTTTGTTGGCATTACTCCATACAGTGATAATCAACCTGGAAAGGACATGAGCAACAATAAAAAATGTCTGCTGACAATACAAACTGATACTGAGCAGGAACAGGAGAGAATGATGGTGAAAAATGCAGAGGTTCTTTGCACACTGTATATAGAAAAGACAGAGGCAGTTCAGCAGAGATGAGTGTAAAGAAGCGCACAAGGGGAAGAACAAGACTTAAGTGATATACAGAATCATGGGCTCAGGGCTGACTGCTAGCATTCAGAAGAAAGATCGTGGGTTTGCAACTGATGAAGTGTTAATGATTATTAAGAATAAAATTGAGAACAAAACATTCCACCGTAAGGGATCAGGGTTCCCTATATATCAAGCTGTGTAATTCTGTCTCCTTGATTTAAAAAGGACACAGAATTACTGGAATAAATGCATGAAAAAGATAATTAGTAATGTGAAAGGGCTTCAATAGAGGTGATGGCTAAATGGAGTAAAATTCTCATCTGGCTCAGTGGGAATCCCAGGGAATTAAGATAAGGGTCTCTAAAACCATATGCTGCAGGATAGAAGGCACATAGAGATCAACCATTCCTCTTTTCTTTTAACTTAAGAACTAAATGTCATTGAAAAGTCTTGAAGAAGCAGACTTCAAGACAAAGGTAGTTGTTAACCACTGGAATATTCACTTATATATATATATTCACTTAGGTGTTGTTAACTATTGTAATTCTTTGACTGAAAAATTTGTGGACCCAGAGTTTGCCTTGTTTGAAGAGAATATTAGTCAAGTTCATGCAAGGGAAACCCCTCAAGAACTACTATCTGTCCAGAAACCACATCTAGCTCATTTCTTTTTCAGGATATTCAAGGAGCAAAAGTCCCTTTTCCCCCACCGCCTCTGTCAGCCAACCTGGAAGTTGGTAATAGACAGTTTTGTCTGAGAGGTCTCCCCAGAGACCAGCATCAGCCAAAAAAATGTCTTTGGAGAGCATCAGGAGAGCAGAGAGATTTTGATATAAAATGCTCTAGGATTGAGGCAAGGATGTCAGAAATCTGCATTTGTGATAAAATAGGTCAAAATATTAATGAACTCTGGCAATACCAGAATTTTCTATGAGGTCAAGGAAGATAAAACAAGTCCCTGGAGAAAGACCACTTTATGATTGTCCTGTTCTTATATTCTTAGCAGTAGATATCTATCAGTAGATATAGCAAACAGAGCTAGAGACAACTGCGTTCTGACCTGCTACTGGTATTTTGCTGATATGAACTCTTTTTATGGTGCCATGCCTACTCCTGGGGCTTTGGCTGCCTGGGCTCAGGCCAGCTTAGAAAGAGCACATCTGCTGACTTTGAAAGCTGATGTGAAGAAAACTAGAGGAAGCCCCAGCAGACACCACCTCTCCTTCCCTGGGAACTGCTTTTAGCTGTGAGTGTTGCCCTTCACCTTCACCCGAGCTATGTTGCAGTTGCATTATAGCCATGTCTGCACCCAGTCACATATCCCACTGCTGAGGGCTCCTGCCTCTGAAAAGCAGGCTGCCTGCCCAGTGCACCTGGGACCCATCTTGTCACGGTGACCTCACCTGGTGATTACTGGCCCTGAGTTCTCCCTTGTCCTCAGCCCCAGTCCTTGGCTTGGCTTGTTGGGCATGGCAGGACCACACTCAGCCAAGGGCGGCCCAGCTCTGGAAGTCTGTGGGTACCTACTCTGTCTGGGTGCAGTCATGCACCTACCTTGCCCTGCCCATAACCCATGGCTCATGCTGCACCCCACACAGGGCAGCAGTGTGGAAGTTTGATCAACATCTTTTATTAGTATCCACCCCAGATCAGTAGAACACATCAGTAAAAAATGAGGGATCTGAACAGTCAGGAATACTGCAACAGCGTCTTTTGTCTTTAAAAGAAGAAGTATCTCCTAGCATACTGTCATAATTCAAAAGAGCTTCATTTATGTAGAGATATCTACTGTGAAATTCCATTGATTGCATAATACAGCATTTCCTTTTGGAATTGGCAGCTAAAATATATAAAGCCCTTTGTCACAGGAGACTTGTGTCCAAACTTAGTATACAGGAAAAAAAAAGCTAAATACAGGCTGTTCTCTTCTTCTTTGCTGTGCTTTTAGAATAATGTTCCCCATTCCTGTGCATTCCTTCCTCCAGAATCACTGCGAGAAATAACTGAAACTGGCTGCTCTAGTAGGATGGCAAAATTGCAAAGCTCTGGTTCTGAACAGAAGTGTAAAAGTACATCAAAAGCCAAGAAAAAAAGAGGGAAAGGGGAAAAAAAGCCTCAATTGACATTTCCTTTTTTATTTGGTTCACTGAAATACATATTCCCCTAAATAATATATTGCATTAAATTTTAAAATACTACAGTTGTCAAAATGTTTGATTGTTCACTCTGGTTTGTATACCAGTGGAGTTCGTTTGTTTGATTCTTTCCATAGTTACGGAAATCTGAGTTTTCCTTTTTAGTTTTATCATAGGAATCTTAATTCATTTATTCAACTGATTCCAGGAACTGAGGTTTAAGAGTAGAACATTAAACACTGAAAAATTAGCAGCAAACCTCTAGGAGATGGCAACAATTACGACTACAATGACTTTACTTTTTAGCTCTTAAAGTTTTACAGTTCAGAATCACTACAGTTTAATGATGGAAACAGTAGGAGTCTTCTGATAAATCCTCCCGAAATCTCTCATCTTCAAACTGGAGTTCTCACAAAATAAGTAAAAACATCAAAAACAGTCAACAGTTTTTATGCAAAATACCAGCTATATGTATATGTACTTTAATTGTGATCAGGAACTTCACATTTCTTACTTTCCCCACCTTTCTTGCTCATTTGCTTAATTGTCTTTTACAATAAGGTTTTTTCATACCTTGGCAAAACATGATGCTAGAATTCAGTCAGTGAGTCTAGAGTTCAAAAATATTTTTCCTTTACAGCCAATTTAAAGTATTAATTCTGTAAAGTCAGGTCTACTTATATTCTAAAAATTAAAAGTTAAAATTAAAAATAGACATGAACAGTTTGCACTGACTTTAAAATGTATTTTGTATTCAAGAAAGAAAAAAAAAGAGTGACTATTACGAAGAGAATTAGAGAAAAAGACAAAGTTCAGAATAGGCTTGATTTTAATATCCAGTAGTTTACATTAGAATTAATTCCAGTTGAATTCTATCAAAACCAGAATGAGGCTTCAGGAAAAGCTTTCTGAAATAAATTTATGTATGTAATTATGATAGATTACACAAAAGGAAAAACAAAGATCTTACTCTCTTTCAGACATTATTGCTGACCAGAACTGGTCTCAGGAAAAGCTGCTGTTGATAACCCAGATGAGGAACACAGCTTTCTTTCCAGTTACCTTTAGATGTGAGTTCACCTCTATTAGCAACTTTCTGCTCTTTGCCTTCTGTCTTCTGTTACTAAGTGATATTTGGCTTTTTCCTGCCTCTTGAGCTGAAATGAGAAACACAGGCTCAACCTCATGTGAGCATAACTGTGAAAGGTATTTAACAACTAAGATTTCATTGTCATCACCCTGCAAGGAAAAATTCAGATACCTGACTTCCCATTTACAATGCCAAAATCTAAACATTTTGCCATCAAATAGTCTCTCTCTCCCTATCTTTTAAACCACATATTAACAAGACTAAAAGTTTCTTTCCAAAGAAGCCCTGGAGCATTTTGGCTGGTTTACATAGGAGCTGATTTCTTCACATGTAACAGAAACACCACAGTAATCAATCTACTAAGGGAGAAAAATTAAATATTCCCCCAGCTACTCAACTTCTAAAGGATTCCAGCAGTTTCTGAATTTAATTACTGACAAGTTTAGATATGCTGGGAGATTCCAGGGCTGATTTTATGCACTTTCCCTTGAACCTCTCTTGTCAGACTTTCTCACAGTTCTTCATAAGTGAAGGCCTCAATTGTTTATGCTAAATTGGAACATTGTGTTTATGTCCATACAGTGTAATACTAAACATAAATGAAATCACATGAAAATTCTTGGTATGAGAAAAGAAGACAGATCTCCAATGTATCTATTGTATCACAGAGCACATAATTTATCTTAAAATCCAGAAAACCATATCAGTATTTAAATCCAAACAAATTATAGTAATGTAAAAGAATATACAAATTTATTCTGTATAAATAAATCTGATAATAAACAAGTGAGCCCTGATTTTTTTCACTGAGAATCAGGACAACTTACTCTGGTACAAAATACGTTCAGTGCTAGCCCAAAATTCGAGGCCACTACTCAGGCTCAGCTGAACACAGCAAAGACTGCTGAACAAACTTGCACAAAGTTAGCTATATTAGTTCATGTATTTTCCCCAGATTCAACTGGGGAATGTTTGTGTGCGCACAGGACCTTTGAATTTGAAATCAGAGTTCCCAGCTACACAGAGCTGGCAGCTCCTGGCTTTTGAGCACTGTAGCCTGAAGTTAAACAAATTGTTCAAAGACAATGTAGCTGCACATTCATGTTCAGCTACAGAAGTCACATGCTTTGGATGCAGAGATACGAGAAAAAGACTGAACGAGAGTTTGTGGTTGGAAGGAAAGTTCTTGAAAATATTTTGTCTTTACATTCACAGCAGAATATTCCCATTAAAGCTACTTCCCTTTTATTGTTACTAAAAACATCTCGTAATGAAACACCTGAAGTTTCTTAAAATTAAAAATTAAGACTATTGAAATATTCTCTTTATCAAAAAAATTTAAAATTTTCCTCGACTCCTCCCAATGTTATTAGAGAACAGTCATCTTTATCCTTTTCCTTGTATTTAAGTAAAAATACAAGGAAAATACAAGTAAAAATGCTGAGCAGAGGAAGACCACAACTAAACAGATAGCCAAGTGCAAAAATCAAAGAACGACTTCCTGATGCCTTGTCCATCCATCCTTTCACTCTTACTGCAACTGTGGTCCACACACCACCGATAATGACATGTGCAAGCACACTTTGGTGTTTGAAACTCCAAGAAGTAGCAATGACACTCAGGAATCATAGAAAGGCTGGGGTTGGATGTGTTTATCTTAGATACCTGTTAACTTACTCTGTCTGGTTAATAAACTGTCAGCAATCACATTATTACCTCTGAGTTACTGAAAATACTAGGAATAAGTGTAAACATTTATGTAGCTTAAATACAGGAGGATTTAAAGATGCTACCCTTTCCTAATGCCTGTAGTGACTTTTTCATTACCATGGACAAGAAGTCTAAACGAATGTCTTTCAATGTCAGTTGTGACTTGAACCAAGCCTTAATTAAACTGGCACTTTCAGCTTTGAAGAACCAATGAAGCATGCAGACACACACCACAAAAGAGAAAGAAAAACATATGTCAAAATTTTGGGGTATTTTTACAAGATGCTTGACATACCTAGTATGGCATTATTACACGGAAACAATCAACAACTGAACACAAAAGGGGTTTTTTGTTGCAAGAGTAAAACCCAAATTCTTTGCACTAGCTACATTCTCATGAATGAGAATTCATAAATCCTTGCTGTACCTTTGAAGATCTACATTTTTCAGCCTATGACACTGTGTTTTACCCTTGATACGCAAATATGCCCCATGAATCTACTTGGAAGTGTTGGAAACATGCTTGTGCATGTGTAAGCATGTTTTGGATTTAATGAGCAGTGAAAAATTAAGCAACAATTATAACACTTCTGCACAGTTTATAAACTGGTATTTGGGAATGTGCATGCACTGTAGAGGCAGTTCTATACTACCACTTGAAACAAAAATAAACAGCTATCAATCCGTACTTCCCCATATAAAAATTTATTTGACAGCCTTACTTAATGTTGTGTAAGAACACCATATTTAGAAAACAACAAGCAGCAAAGAACTATTCTGCAGAGGCAACTCCTTTCAGGAGCTAACTTTAGATGCAAAAGGAGAATCTTTTAGCTAGAGCTTACCTTGTACCAGAACTCATTCTCTGTTGACAGGAAACAAAGATTTATTAAGTTTCAGTTTCTTTGTGAAGCTGAACTGCCTTCAGCATGAAGACCTTAGCAGAAGAGCAGACTCAAACTGGACGTAAAATCCCCATTTCACCAGCTACTGCTAGCTAGCTGGATTTTCAGATACATCCTATGATAAGTTTAATTTTTTAACACCATTACAATTCAACTAGTATACGGCACGACCTACACTGTGCTGTGCTGATGAGGAGGAGGAGCTTCTCCCCACAGTTTCTCATCACACCAGTTTGGTTAGGTTTGAGGCTACCAGATGCCCCCTTAAAAAAAGGGACATTAAACAGGTGTTATCATCATGAGGATAGAGCCAGATCAGAAGATAAAATAACTTAGCTTGAAATACATGAATTTTGTATAAAGGAGGTGTAAAATTAAGGGAAGCTGAGTTGATACAGGTCATTGAGGTGGAAGTCGAAAAAAAATTCATCTGTTAAAGTTAAGAGCTGGGGAATGGGAGGAAAAAATACTGTATAGATGGAAAAATGCACAGTCAAATGAAGGAGTTAAAAAAGTATTGGAAATATGGAACTAGGAAAGTATTTCCTACTCAGGATAGCTGGGGAGAATATTATTCTAATTCAGAGAAACATGATTATGTTCTCTTCTCCCTTTTTTTTCAACCCAGCAATAAAAAACCACTGGACATGTGCATTGTACTTGTATGTAAATAGAGAAAACCCCAATGAAAAATAAGGGAACCAAGTAATATATGCTATAGAAGGAATCTAAATTACCATGGCTTGGTGGTTCAGCATACATAGGAAAGAACAAGTAAAGTAGAATTTTTTCCTTAAACAAAAGAGGTTGGAACCCAGTGTGATCCCAGTTTTGAAGCTGTCACTAGGAGACCTGATCCTAGCATTTTAACCACACTCAGCAGCAATTTTCCTTGGTAGATAGTTTCTCATGGACTGTGACAGAGGGGAAATCAGACAAAACCCAAGCATAATACAGCCCAAGAAATGGTGCACTGGGATTTTATTATAAAATGTCTACACCCAAGCGTACAGTAATAAAAGAAAACAATAAATGTGTTGGATGAAAGTGAGGTGGAACTCATCAGTAGGCACGTACTACAGGAGATCTCAGCTAAAGAAATGGGAATAGGCATTTGCAAAGACTACAGAAAGAGAGGTGTTTGTACACACACCAACAGAAGACTTCCTTATACAAAACAAAAGCAAGAAACAGAGACAGGAAGGAAATCACAGGGAATAGCTTGAGTAGAAGCCAAAATGCAGTTTCAGATCTGCGTAAATGTCAAGATGGAAGACAGAAAGCAGGGAGATCTCACATGTAGTGCTAAAAATCAATTCTCCAATCAAACAAAATTATGTGAGAAAGAGGGGTAATAGAGGGAGAAAGGGACAAGTACTTTGATTAAGGCAGTTAGTCCCAGAAGTTATACTTTCCACCTGTAAAAATAAACCCCAGAGTCCTAGCTGTGCCAGTAGATATGAGTAACAAACTGCAAACATTAGCTGAAAGAGGAAAAGTGTAATTTGATAACTAAAACACAAGGCAGAGGAAGAATATTCAGAGTAATACATGGTCAGATGGAGAACACTCCCAGATTAATATTTTGTAATCTCCTTATCTTTCAGTTCCCAGATGAAAATGGATGAGCAAAACATTAGAACAAAGAAGGAGGAAGAAACACTAACAAATAGTCTTTTTTCCATTTTCACTGAATGTAATGAAGACTGAAGGAAATTAAATGACTGTGAAAGGCGGTAATTAATGCAAGTAGGAGAAGTATTCTTAAAGGAACATAAATTATATTAGAAGGAAGCACATTGTGTGAAGCTTCTCAGGTGTCAGAGAGTTCAGTAGATTCACTGATTTCTAAGTTCTGTTTAATCTATGCTTATGAAGCCCTATTTTAAATCTTTCCCGGCTAACTCTTCCAATTCTGCAAATTTTTGCGTACAGAATTTGTCAGATACTAGGAAAAAATCTAGCCTCAAAAACTGTAACACCATCTCTCATAAGAAACTTTTTTCCTCCCATGACCATAACAATGAAGCCTTACTGCAAAGCGAGAGAAGGACAAATCAGTAATTATAAAGTGAATATGTATCATCTGACTATGGTGGCTGCTATCAGTAATAAACAAGACACATAGAAACAGCTGTTTCTACAAGAGCAGGCTATGCATGTTGTACAGAAACATATTCCAGAGAAGTTCTTGTGGAGTGCTTGCATGGGAGTGCTATTCTCAATGTATCTTTCTGATTCTGCATCCTTGTTCAATATACGGCTTCCGGCATGGTGGACCAAAACCTAAATACGGAAAAAAGAGTTAAAGGGGAAGTACTAGAAATAAACCAAAATTTAAAATAGAGGCAGAAGACCTCAGTCTTCTGGATCTGCCTTTTGGACTTTCTTTCAGTGCTTAGCTTTCAGACCAGGTTGGAAGCTGAAGCACACTGGAGAATTCTTTTCACCC